TCGAAACACACCTGCATCAAAATGTACGGCTCACTTAGCGGCTACTACTTCCACGCGAAAAACGTCAAAATTGGTGACTGGATTGTCTTAGCTTTTGAAGAGGATGACGTTCATCTGAGCAAAGTGGTCATTGAGACTGGTTATAATAATCGGTCTGGGCTTAAATTAGTTAATGAACTTAGCGGTGCGAAAACTGAAAAAAGGAAATCCAATTCAATCGAAGTATCTCACGAATTTGGCAACTTACCCTACGAACTCGTTGAAGGCAGCCTGGAAATCAGTCCGAAAATTTTGAAAATAGAAGTCGATAAGAATGTAATTCGTTGCGCCGACTTTAGGCTATTGGGTAATGTTTCAGGTTATAGAACTATTTTTGATAATCTGATGAATGTTTATTGGAATTCGCCGACGAAATGCTTGAAATTTACCGTTACGAACGTTATTACTAAAATGAGTAGCGATCTAGTTATAAGACAGCTAGCTATTTTTACATAGCTAGCTACGGGATATTGTTCTTACCATAAAGAGGTAACAGTGGTATATGTTATGCAGAGAGAAAGAGAGAGAGAGAAATGGAAGGGAGAGAGAGAGAAAGAAGGAGAGAGAAATTTTTTATTCGATTTTTTAAATTTTCCCATTTGTCATTATTCGGTAAATTATGGCTTCATTCATCCATTATTGATTGATTGATTGATTGGTTGGTTGATTGATTGATTGATTAATTGATTGATTGATAGCTTATTTACTGTTTGCAATGCTTTCATGTACTGTACAGCATTTATTTATTTAATATGCATTTATTTAGTTGTACGTATACAATACATGCATTTGCCATTATATATATATATATATATATATATATATATATATATATATATATATATTCTTATTAGTTAATCATGAGTGAGTTTTTTAGTTACTATTTTTGTAGTAATGTCGAGACAATTGACGATGACGACGATGATGACTCTTTCAATGATATTACAATACATTCTCCAACGCCATTTTTGCCATATTTCAATTTATAAGGTCGAATGATTTATTCAAATTTCTTACCTTTCATTTGCACTACTTTTCGAGAAATTCACAAAGTCAGATAACAGATGACAAGCTGATCGAAACATTTTCCAATTATCTTCACTTGATGTACCAGTCTAACTTTATAATAAGTAGACCGAGTCTTTTAGTTAACAAAAATCAATGGAATGATGGTGACGACGACGATAAAGATGGAAACAATAATCTCCTAAATAAAATCCTCATGGATAGATGGCGCTCCGACGATCCGGCGGCTGACGTATTCACAAATATGGAAGCTGTCGATTCGAAACACACCTGCATCAAAATGTACGGCTCACTTAGCGGCTACTACTTCCACGCGAAAAACGTCAAAATTGGTGACTGGATTGTCTTAGCTTTTGAAGAGGATGACGTTCATCTGAGCAAAGTGGTCATTGAGACTGGTTATAATAATCGGTCTGGGCTTAAATTAGTTAATGAACTTAGCGGTGCGAAAACTGAAAAAAGGAAATCCAATTCAATCGAAGTATCTCACGAATTTGGCAACTTACCCTACGAACTCGTTGAAGGCAGCCTGGAAATCAGTCCGAAAATTTTGAAAATAGAAGTCGATAAGAATGTAATTCGTTGCGCCGACTTTAGGCTATTGGGTAATGTTTCAGGTTATAGAACTATTTTTGATAATCTGATGAATGTTTATTGGAATTCGCCGACGAAATGCTTGAAATTTACCGTTACGAACGTTATTACTAAAATGAGTAGCGATCTAGTTATAAGACAGCTAGCTATTTTTACATAGCTAGCTACGGGATATTGTTCTTACCATAAAGAGGTAACAGTGGTATATGTTATGCAGAGAGAAAGAGAGAGAGAGAAATGGAAGGGAGAGAGAGAGAAAGAAGGAGAGAGAAATTTTTTATTCGATTTTTTAAATTTTCCCATTTGTCATTATTCGGTAAATTATGGCTTCATTCATCCATTATTGATTGATTGATTGATTGGTTGGTTGATTGATTGATTGATTAGATAGCTTATTTACTATTTGCAATGCTTTCATGTACTGTACAGCATTTAATTATTTAATATGCATTTATTTAGTTGTACGTATACAATACATGCATTTGCCATTATATATATATATATATATATATATATATATATATAAAGATAAAGATATATATATATATATTCTTATTAGTTAATCATGGGTGAGTTTTTTAGTTACTATTTTTGTAGTAATGTCGAGACAATTGACGATGACGACGATGATGACTCTTTCAATGATATTACAATACATTCTCCAACGCCATTTTTGCCATATTTCAATTTTCCATGCCTATAATATATAGTATTTATAAATACACTATCAACTTTAACCGTGAGCTTTAGCGGAAATGACGTCATTGCATTTCAAACGATAAACCATAACATGGTGTATACATATTGACTATTGGGCGACCTTACAAGAGCCCGATAAAGCTACACGAGTCAAGGTTGAAAGTTCAAGTGTATATAGTTCAATTTCTATGATAAATTCTTTTTAGAGTTTTTGAGCCATTTCTTTAAGGACTTACACGGATATATATAATATATCCATCCATTCATCCAAGGACTTGCATCACTTGTATAATTGTACACAATATATATATATGTATATATATATATATATATTGTGTATATAGTTATATATATATATATGTATATATTTATTTATTTTTCTATAATTTTTTACCATAATTGTGAATAAATCGAAAATTGTTTTATAAATTATTGATATTATTCAGGTTTTTATAAAAAAAATGACCAAAAAAGATTTTGATTTTGTTGAAATGATTAAATATAAAATAGTTCTTCGTTTATATATATATATATATATATATATATATATATATATATATATATATCAGTTTGAAAGGCAGGTTGATAGCTAAATATATTATATATGAGTATATAGTGTTATAATATATATATATATATTATGTATATATATATATACATGTGTATGTGTGTGTGTGTGTTTATGTGTATGTAGCAGCAAAAACTATTACTAAGTATATCATAATCAAGGTTATATATATATATATATATATATATATATATATGTATATATATATGATAGAAAAATATAAGCACTTTGGTATAGAACACATTACATTTAGCTGAATCGATAGACACAAACTCACACACACACATATATATATATACATACATATATATATTTGTATATTTCCAAATTTACTTGTTTTATTTATTTCTGTTGAAAAATGTTCAAAGATAACGGAGACATATATATATATATATATATATATATATATATATATATGTATATATATATATAGAATATAACATATATACTCTATCTATATATATGAATGGAAATAGCGTTAAAAGCCGATCAATTTGAAATTTTCAATAAGGAAAAATATGGAACTCGCTACAAGAAACTATTATAAAACAAATAACATGTTTTTGATTGCAATAATATCCACAAATGTGTACTTTCCACGCAAACACGTTAAAAAATCTCAAGATTCAATTAAATGGAAAAAAAAACCAGATGAACAAATGAATGTTTTTAATTGCCACAAAATAAAATTCTACACAAATATTTATATAACACGCACGCACACTTAGACATAAATAAAGAGAGAGGGAGAGAGAAGGAAAACAACACACACGCACACAAATCAAATAAATCCATGTTTGATACAAAATCCTTTTAGAACTTTTCGTCAACCTCTTTGATCTTTTTCAGCCTGCCCTGTTTGGCGTCTGAGATGGCGCCCCAGAGCTCGAATATGAAAACTTCCGTAAAGCCAAACATACTCAGATCTGAATCCCGAATAATCGTAACAAACTCGCTGGGATTGTTACTCTTGCTTCCCAATTCCCAGATTGTTTGGGCTGTTTATTGGGGGAATTTTGATGGAAAGAGTAGTTTGTGTGTGTTTGTCTGTGGGAGAGATAGAGAAAGAAAGAAAGGGATAGAGAAAGAGAGAGTGTGTGTGTGTGTGTTTTTGTATGCATGTGTGTAAGGGAGACAAAAAGTGTGTATGTCTGTGTGAGTGTTAGACTAGGTTGATTTTATTAACTATTAGTTAGTTTTTTAGTTAATTCTATCGATGTTATTAATTATTTATTAATTAATATATGATTTTAATTCTAAATAATATGAGTATAATAGTTTCCAGGACCCACTTCCAGGATGTACTAACATAATTCGGCATCACTTATCCCGAGAAAACCTTCCAACATGGCATTTATTTTGTCTACTGCTACGCTTGAGACATCATCAGCCTGTTGAATTAAAAATAAAAAATTGTCTGTATGTCTGTGCGTTCGTTCGTTTGTTTCGAATTCTGAAAAAATTTCTACAAAATATAAAAAGAATGATTTAAGAAATGATTTCCAGAGAAAAAATACTTAAGAAGTTACTATTTCCAAAGTGGCTGCCCCCTTTGGCCTTAATCTCAGAGTCTCTTTACCCGTACCCATGCTACCGCCCTTCGATGTCTTCTGGTTCTTGCTTGTTACGGGACCTAAAGATTGTCAAAAATAAACAGCTCTACCCAACTCAAATACAAAATACACCAGCACAAATACACAAAAATTCACTACCGAAATCTGATTTTTCTGGCTCAACAACCCTGAGAGAGAAGGTTGAATTCACTGGGATCTCCTTTAACATCTTGGCCACCTCAAAATGACGACTTCCAACTACGGAAACGTTGTTTATTTTTTCTATGTGGTCCCCGACGATCAGTCCATCTATCTTGCTCATTACGCTACCTTCCTATTGGTTGATAAGTTTGAATGGTTGGATTTGATTGGTTGGATTTCAGTGGCTGGATTCGAATGGCTGAATTTGATTGATTGGATTCGAATGGTTGAAATTGATTTGTTGATATTTTTATGACTAAATTCAATTACAAAAATTTAATTTGTCGAATTTGATGAATGAATTTGATAGGTCGGCTTAAAAAAAAGCTATTCAACAATAATTATACTTATGTTTTGCATAAACAACTGAAAATTATTATTTCATACTATTATTTAAATACAAAAACGGATGAATAAAAGGTTATTTTTATTCATTTTCAAATATTAAAAAAATATTTTATTGACCTTTATAGCTTTAATGAATGCCAAACCGGCCCCATTATCCGTAATGGTAAGACCGAGAGCTTCCTCGCTTTTCTCCACATCGACGACCTTTGGACGGCCCTTCACGTGGGCGAATATGAAATCTTCAAGGCCCAACTGCCCCCCCAGCAAACGCGCCATGTCAATTTTGTGAGTGTTTAAGGTGCAGAATAAGATCTGCGGATTTGTAGGTGGTAAATTATTTTTTTAATTTGTGGAAAATTATTTTTATTAATTATAATAATGTCTATTACTAGTGATAGTAGCGTTGTTGTTGTTGCTGCTGCTACTGCTTCTACTACTACTACTATGGCTACAATTTTTACTGGTAATTATGATAATAATAAATAACATCAAATTAACCTCTGATGGTTTAATATCATAACAGGCCGCAATCTTCTGGTATAACTCCTTGACGTTAGTGAATCCGGATATTATCCCAGTGGGACTACCCTGAGCTAGTTGGCAGTGAAAGTTCAACTTTGGCTTCGAATCATCGTTATTATTAATGTTACTGTTATTATTATTATTATTGTTGTTGCTGGCCATTTTTGAAGTCTGTTCGTTTGGCGAGGTTGGTACGGTCGAGTGCTGGTTCTGCTGCTCTTTAACTCCATTGGGCTTCTTCTTGTTATTATCTTTTTGACCGAATAGCGGCATTTTCTTAAAGATTACCTGACTTTTTTAAGTAATTAGTGTATTAAACCGTAAAAATCTAACTTACTTTAGATATTTTTATCGATTAATTGGTCGAATTTATGACTTAAATTATGTAAATCTAAGACAGACCGGAGTTTATTTATAAATTTGAGGTTATGAAGATGGTTTTCTCAATATAGGAAGTAAATTAGAGTTACAAATTCGAAATAATAAGTATTAAATTTTACTGAAATTAATGAACAACGTTGTAAAATTGACTCGCAAATTATTTAAATTCAATAAATTTATGACTTTTTGAGCAATTTTTTTATCTATTTAAAGCTTACTAACGTGTCTCTTATAAGAAATATGACTTAATGAATGTGAAACAGTGGTAGTAGTAGTAGTAGTAATAATAATAATAATAATTATAATTATAATTATATTGACAACAATATATTTGTTATTACTATTATTACAACTTTTGCTGGTAGTGTTATGGCTAATGTAGTAGTTGTTATTAGTGTTATTAATGTAGCTACTATTGTTATTATTATTGTTATTATTGCTGTTACAGTTATTATTATTCTTATTATTATCATTGCTTGCCTATTTTGCTTTAGGTGCAGTCACGCTTCATTGAATTTGCAGAGTCATTATTAAGCTCTCAACATTTTTGAGATTTTAAATGATGATTTGCATAAATTCAAAAAGTTTTCAATTATTTAATTAATAATTTTATTATAAAAATTTGAAATTATAATTAAAAATAAAGGTAGTATTGAAATATAGGCATTAACTTTAATTGTAAATATTTAGTGTCTTTGGTAAGTTTGAGTTAGATTAAATTTTACATCTCCGTTGCTAACTTTATATATATTTATATTTCAAATATATTTTATCAATTTTGTTTAGTTTTTTAGTTCCTAATTCATTAGTCCGGTTTCAAATTAGAAATATTAAAATGCAGGTTAAAATTTAAAAAAGAATTTCCATTTTGATTTAAATTGCCTTATTTTTTATACTTTTAATTTTATAAATAAATAATGAAAATAAATAAAAATTATAAATAAATGTAAAATTAATTATTATTTACAATATACAACAAAATGTGTTTTAATTTTTTTCCAGGGTCGAGAAGAAAAGCAGTTAGACGCCAGTTTGGAGGCCATCATTCAGAGGATTCATGATCTTCGGCAGTCCCTAATATCTTTCATTTGCAAATTAGAAAATGAATACAATACACTGAACTGGTTAGTAGTTGGAGTTTGTTTGTTGGTTGAGTGAGTGATTGGTTGAGTGATTGGTTAAGTTGTTCATTTATAAATTTTTAGTTATAAATATAGAGACCACGGTTCATAAAACATGCAGTGTACTATCATTCAAATTATGCCATGCAATATTATATTGTATTATAACACATATACACATTATATCATATTTCATTTATATAGGACGACAGTGTTGGATAATTATGCATTGCTCTCAGGTCAAATTAGTCTTTTGGGGAAATTTTTGAAGAGCGACAAAATGTCACACCTGAAAAACTATGTCGCCATCCCTTTTAGTCTGTCTCCAGAACTCGATCCTAATTTAGAGGTTAGCTGGATGGTTTGGGGGTAGTTGGTTGTAGTTAATTATCTGGTTGTGTTAGACAACTGTTTTCAATCAATCGAACTCCAAATCAATCACTCGACAAAATGGATTAAAGAGCCAATAATCAATCTCTCAATCAATCATTCACTAAACAAGCCAATCAATCAACCAATCATTTGCATCTGCCACAGAAACTAACAGAAGGGCGAGTACCTTACTTCAATCACGAGGTTGTGCCAAACTACTTGCGAACAAAGCCAGAGCCGGAGATTGAAGACCGCCTTGCTCAAATGCAAAATAAAGCTCATTCACTTACTGCTGAAAATTTACAAGTTTGTTTTGTTCATTGTTTGTTTGTTCACTTTGTTGGTTTTTTAATTAGTCTATTCATTTGTTCATTCATCTGTTCATACATTCATCCATTCATTCATTCTTTCTTTCCTTCATTTAGAAGCAAACAAATACGTTGAACAAGCTGGCAAACTTGATCCAGGAAACGTTGAAAAATTCAAAGGAGATGCTTGACGGTGATCCAGGTTGGTTTTTTGGTTGATTGTTTTGTTGGTTGATTGTTTGGTTGGTTGTTTGGTTGATTGTTTGGTTGGTTGGTTGGTTGGTCGGTTAGCATCACCATCATTAATGATTGCAGTCCAGAAAGGAATGCCCTTGCAAACGTGCACTACCGCCGATACGACGAATCTAGTGGCCGCCATGCTGACAGGAAAAGGATTGAAGCCATCGTCGACGTCATCGATGCAACAACAACAGATTGGTGACGTCAGAAGTGGAAGCGCCGGTGGCGGGAATTCTTCTGTCCAGCAGGGTTTGTTTGTCTGCTTGTTTGTGTGTTTTCATGCCTTATGTTCGTACGTTTGTTCGTTTTTTGTTTGTTTGTTCTATTGTTTGTTGCTGTTTGTGCTCAATTTTTCATTAAATAAATTCAATTCTGTTTAATCTTTTAATTTGTTCACCCAGTCATGTCGAACATGACAAACATGTCAAAGGCTCCAAACCCCATCAAGACGAACGTAAAGGCGGCAATGATTTCGACACAATACAACAGATGAACTTTGACCTGACACGATTAATCTATGTGTGTTTGTGTGCGTGTGTTTGTGTGTGTGTGTTTGTGTGTGTCTGTATGTATATATTTATAAATGAGAAATCAAATCTGGTTTGACGTTTGCAGCATTTTTTTCTTCTTTTGTTTTCATTTTCGAAACAAAAATATAAAGGCACGTCGTTGTTGAAGATGGGATTTAAATAAATGAAAGAACATAAAAACTTGCAAACAAAATAACATACAAACAAAAAAACATACAAAGGTAATTGAAATACAAAACTGAAAATACAAAATACTTATTATCATACAATACGTTTATATATAAAATTTATACAAGATAATTCTTATTCATATTGAAAATAATGCAAGTTATACACACAAGCTATACATACAAAACACATAAATACATACGAAAAGATACAAAACAAGCATACAAAAATGGACCTACAAATCAAACAACATTTCGGGTCGTTATCAGCTGTAAGCATTCGAAAGAGATATACATAAAAACATACAAAAATAATACAAAAAATACATACAAGCAAATATACAGATACAAAAGATACATACATACAAAAACACCCCTGCAAAGGATACAAAAAATACAAAACGTGCAATACAATACACACGAAACGTATCATATCGTGTCTTTATTGGCTGTAAGCGTCTGAAAGAGAGACTGATCGGACGAACGCACAAACACGATCCTAAACACACGTGCAATCATACAAAAAAAAACATACAAAACAAACATCATATCGGGTCGTTGTCAGCCGTAAGCATTTGAAATAAAAACTGATCAGATAAACATCCTTTAATAAACTCCTCGTTCGATAGCAAGCCGTCCTGGTTCAGGTCCATCTTGGCAAAAATTTCTTCCGTTCTTTGCTCCGGTGAGATCGTGTAATCGTTTCCGGTTATGTTGGGGCCTACCATGCTGTAGATCGCCTGTTTTGGTGTGTTTGTGTGTGTGTGTGTGTTTATGTGTGTGTGTGTGGTGTCTGTTTGTATGTGTGTGTGTTTGTGTGGTGTCTGTTTGTATGTGTGTGTGTGTGTTTATGTGTGTGTGTGTGGTGTCTGTTTGTATGTGTGTGTGTGTGTTTGTGTGGTGTCTGTTTGTATGTGTGTGTGTGTATGTGTGTGTGTGTGTGTGTGTTTGTATGTGTGTGTATGTGTATACTTCTATGCGTGTGTTTGTAAGTAGATTTTTTTCAAATATGTGATGCTTTATTTAAGTTGATAATGTTGGAAGTCTTGTTTATCTATATCTTTGTTTATCTTTTATATCTATGTTTTGAATCTTTCTTTGTCTTTGTATTTTTATGTTTCTGTGTCTATGTATTTGTATCTTTGTGTTAATTCGACTATGTGTTTGTATCTTAGTGTTTATTCGTCTATGTATTTGTATCTATTTGTTTATTCGTCTATGTGTTTGTATCTTTGTGTTTATTTGTCTATGTATTTTTATCTTTGTGTTTACATATCGATGTAGGTAGATGAGTTAATTTGTTGTTATGGCGTCAACAACTTTCAGGAAAATATGATGCTCATTATTTGTCTTACCACCATCATACCAAACTTACAAAAACACATACAAACACACACACACGTATATGCAAACTCATACAAAAACATAAAAATTTATACAAATTGCATGCAAAAAATACCAAAAAACAAAGAATGAAAAACAACAGTTATGAACAGAAACCAGAAACAAATGCTAAAGAGAAAGACAAAAGTTGAAATAGAGAGAGGGAAAAAAGAAAGAGAGAAAAGAAAGAGAGAGAGAGAGAGAGAGAGAGAGAGAGAGACTTGAAAAGATAGAATGAGAGAAAATTAGAAGATGAAAAGACCTATAAAAATAACGGCAAACATCAGATTCAGAAACAAGTGTTAAAGAGAAACAGAATAAAAGATGAATGAGAGATAGATAGATAAAAAGAAAGAAAGAGTGAGAAGGAACATAAGAAAAAGAGAGAAAAAAGAAAGAAGGAAGGATAGAGAGAGAGAGAGAGAGAGAGAGAGAGAGAGAGAGAGAGAGAAAGAGAAAGAGAAGAGAGAGATGGAAGGAGAGAGAACGAACCAAATAATATGAGAATAAAAGAATAAAATGAGGTGTGAGTGAAATGAATAATAATTAGCATATTTGAGAGGAAAAAAATGTACAGACATACATACATACATACGTACGTACATACATACATACGTACGCACATACACATTATACATACAAAAGTACGTACCTAAATGTATACATACAAACAAACAAACAAACATACAAACAAACATGTGTACATGCAATCATTAAATAAAACAACAATACCAATCATTTGTATATACTTAAACATCAAGATAAACTAATAAATGGAAAAATAATAAGATAAACATGGAAATCATTATCATTACTCCATCATCGTCGTCGTCATCATCATCATCAAATCATCATCATCATCATCATCGTCATAATCATCATTATCATCATCATCATCGTGTACATTCCTATCATAACGTTGATGCTTAGAGCCAGAAATATGTAGCAATTATTTTCATTATTCTTATTCTTTCCCTTCTGCTTCTTCTTATTATTATTGTTATTGTTGTTATTGTTATTACTATTATTATTGATATCATTATGCTTAATTAATCTAAATTTCTAAACGTTTGAGTGTATAACACGTGATTTTTTTTTAAATTCTCAACAGGACAACAACGCAGACGCTTCTTCTACTTCTTCGTCTTCTTCTTCTTCTTCTCCTTCTTCTTCTTCTTCTTCGTTTTCTTCTTCGTTTTCTTCTTCTTTTTCTTTTCTTCTTCTTTTTCTTCTTCTTCTTCGTCTTCTTCTTTTTATTATTATTATTATTATATATGAATGTCTCGAAAGAGATAACCCTAAAGTCAGTCAGCCAGCCAGCCAGGTTAAAAGGGGCTGTTAAAAAATATTCCTCACAGCAGCGCGAACTTTGCAAAAACAATCCTCGACATGCATACATTTGTCAATCAGGTAAATACGCGCAAGTTCATCTACAGACGTGTTAAAACGAAGAGAACTATTTTGAATTATTTTTATTTAATTTTGTTTTTTCCATTAACGCAAATTGGTGACGAATCAACATGGAGAGGATTTTAAGTATTTTAAGTACTATTCATTTCTAAGCTTGCGTTAATCACACAGAATGGCGACCCCACGGTCACTTTTTGCCCCTTAACACAGTAACAAAAACCTGATTTTGTATTGACATAAATTTTGAACTAATCTTTCTGACGTTCTATAAACCAGAGCGTTGCAATAGACAATTCTAAAATGTATTTAAGCGCGCATCGACATCTGCCAAAAGTCCAGTGTATGAAGGTCTTGAAATGTAACAACACTTTCGAGACTACATCTGGATAGGATCACATACATCGACAAATTCGAATTGAAAACAACAAAAAATTACTATCCTAGCTATAGAATTTGACCTTCTGACATTCTGTGGTTATATGCGCGTATGTATGTATGTGTGTGTGTGTGTGTATGTATGTATGTATGACTTTTCGCTCATTCTAGGACTCACCGATGACCCAATTCGTCGATTCGACGATGTACTCCATATGTATGTATGTAAATATGTATGTAATGTTTTTTATACTAATGTATAATGAGATATCCAACAAAATTAGACAGACAATAATATTTTACCAAGAAACATCGTCATCGTCATCATCATCGTCGTCGTCATCATCACACATGTAATATAGGTGCTTAAATTAATGAATGGTCTAGACACCATGTTCACCTGCGCTTGTTAAACTTTGTTAAGAAAATGTCTGTTTGACTTGTGTTGTTGTTAATGTTGGTGTTGTTGTTGTTTTTGAAGATGATGTTGTTGTTGATGATGTTGTTGATGATGATGTTGTTGTTGTTGCTGCTGATGTTGTTGTTGTTGTTTTTGAAGATGATGTTGTTGTTGATGATGTTGTAGTTGTTGTTGTTGATGATAATGTTGTTGTTGTTGCTGATGCTGATAATGTTGTTGTTCTTGATGATGTTGATGTTGTTGTTGTTGTTCTTGATGATGTTGATGTTTTTGTTGTTGATGATGACGATAGTAAAGATGAAGAAGGCGATGAATGACTGAACGAATTAATTAATTGATAATAACAAGTATTATTAATTAATAGCGTTGAGAGACATGCCAATAATAATAATAATAATAATAATAATAATAATAATAATAATAATAATAATAATAATAATAATAATAACAATAATAATAATAATAATAATAATAATAATAATTGTAATAATAATAATAATAATAACAACAATTGTAATAATAATAATAATAATCCATTAAAATAAATACTGCTACAACTACTACTACTGCAACTACTGCTGCTGCTACAACTGCTACTACTACTAATACTACTACAATTACTACTACTACTACAACTAATAATGATGATTATGATTATTATTTTTATTATAGTTATTATTTTTTTGTTATTATTTTTCAGACTAGCTGGTTCTGCAGACGCTGTTCGTTGTATAGAGTAATGAACTTTGAAACGGTCAAAATAGCGATTTTACAGACCTTCATCCTCATCATAATCATCAACAAAAACATCATCATCATCAACAAAAACATCATCATCATCATCACCTGCATCATCATTATCATCAGCATCATACTCCTGGTTTAATGTTCGGATAATGTGTATACAATACGTACGTATGTATTTATTATCTTTGTTTTTTTTATCCTTTTTTTTATCTATTTTTTTATGGCGTTTATTGTATCTATGTATGTGTGTGTATGTATGTTTGTTTGTTTGTATGTATGTTTGTGAAGTATTTCATTGAAAAATAGATAGACAGAAAGAATAAAACAGCGAAAGGTAGAAAGAGAAAAAGAGAGAGAAAGAACGAGAGCGAAAGAAAGTGTAAACAGCAATTGGAAACATCATTAAGTAAATAAATTCTTTCTTTTTTTTTCTCTCTCTCTCTTTCTCTCTCTCTCTCTCTTTCATTTTCTATCACCGCCTCTTAATTTTTCTCCAATTTTTTAAAGATTATTTCACTCAAATTTTCTCTTTCGTTTTCTCTACTTTTTTCTTTTCTGTCTTCCCGGCTCTGTACGTATGCACATTTTTTCCCTCTCCGTCTCTCTCTCTCTCTTCTTCTCTTTCTTTATTTTCTCTCTCTTTTTCTTATATTTGATATTTATTTATGATAAAGCAATTATTGGGTGCTATTGTTTAGACGTGATGCTTAGGTTTCTTACCCAATTACTTTTACTCTCTCTCTCTCTCTCTCACTCTCTCTCTCTCTCTCTCTCTCTCTCTCTCTATCTTTTTCTCTCTCTTTTTTCTCTTTCTCTTTTTTTCTCTTTCTATGTAGTACTATGTATGTGTGTGCGTGCATCATTAATGATCATAAATTAGATAATTAAATAGTTATTGTTATTAATAATTAATCAATTTCCAATAAAATATTACAACCATTATAAACTTCACTAACGGATATAATTTCAATCATCTCCGTCGGTTCGATAAACCCATCCCCATTGACGTCATACATCTGGAAAGCCCATTCCAGTTTCTGTTCGGGATTTCCGGCGGAAGTGATATTTATAGCCAGTAGGAATTCCCGGAAATCAATTTTCCCGCTGTTATCACCGTCGAAAGTCCGGAAGACGTGGTAGCAAAATTTTTCGGCGTTTCCGTTCGGGAAAAAGGACGAATAGACTTCGAGAAATTTGTCACGTGTCAGCTGGCCCGTCGGGCAGTCCCTCTGATTAGTTGATTGATTTGATTGGCTGATTGATTTGATTGGCTGGTTAATTTGATTAGTTGGTTGATTGATTGATTTGATTGGCTGATTAATTTGATTGGTTGGTTGATTGATTGATTTGATTGGCTGGTTAATTTGATTGGTTGGTTGACTGATTGATTAGATTGGCTGATTGATTTGATTGGCCGGTTGGTTGGTTGGTTGATGAATGAGGCATTTGAATGAAGAATTGACACATCGTTAAATAGAAGATAAATATGCGTTAAAATAAATATTGCCAAACTAAAAACAACAACAAAAACAATTATAATAGCAATAGCAATAACAACAATTGTTATTATTCTTATTATTCATTAATGTGATACATCTTCTAATACGTAAACAGCTGCTTATAATATTGGATAATTTATCGTTACTATGTTTCTGCACTGCTTGTTTTGCTGCTATTAGTACTATAATAAATCTATTAGTATAATTATTATTATTATTATTATTATTATTATTAGTAGTAGTAGTAATAGTGTAGTAGTAGCAGCAGCAGTATTATTCTTATTATTAGTAGTAAAAAATTACAAATAATTAATTGAAATAACCAGATTAAAAAAAACCAAAACGCTAAAATTTACTAAATAGATCAATTATTCAACTAATTAGTTATTAAATTAAATGATTAATTAATTAGCTAATTTATCTAATTATTTTAATTAAAATGGGTCCTTTAAAAGGTTCCAAAATGGGTAAAACCCTCACAAACCATGAAGCCCTTGTACCAGGCTTTAATCTGCTTCTCACTGAAATTTGTGTTCTGGATCAAGAAATCCAAATCTTCCTTCGGCAACTTTTTACTGTGCGCGTGTCCCATCTGACAAATTACGGTTATAATTATCATATTTATCATAATTTCCACAATTATAATATTGATTAACTTTAGAGGACGGCCCTTTAGCTCAGTCGGTAAAAGTGCCACTTCTCGCGCTGCTGTTATTCGATGGCCTGGTTCGATTCCTCTCTATTCCGAAAAATCAAAGACTCTATCGTCAGCAATGTAGGCAAGATATTGTACGCGTCTGTGGTGTGTGCTGGTGTGTGCCTTACAGTGTTATGGATGTTAGAGCTTATCTTTATGGCATTATAGATAGATCTAGTCATGTATAAAGTGATATAAAGGAAATTTCAGATCTGCAAAATTCTAAACTATGGTTTAATTGTTAATACTTTAAAATTACTACATTCACGCATATACAAACATTCAGCCACACATACATTCACGCACATACATTTACAAACGTACCCACACATACAAACACACCTAGAGACAAATACAAAAGTATCCATTCGCACTTGCTTAACTCACAATCATATCTATCTATTACACTTCTTATCTAAAACAACAACCAATGTATTATTAATATGTATGTATGTATATATGTATGTATGTATGTATGTATGTATGTATGTATGTATGTATGTATGTATGTATGTATGTATGTATATATATATGTATGTATGTATGTATGTATGTATGTATGTATGTATGTATGTATGCATGTATGTGTGTGTATGTATGTATTTAGGTTTATTTTTATTGTATTTTTTCTTTTTTTCCAGGTGTTCGTGTTTAATTTTTTTTTTTCTCACAAAACAATTATCCCATAACCATCTCAGGACGGTGGTTATAACAACAGCAACAACAACAACAACAACAACAACAACAACAACAACAACAACAACAACAACAACAACAACAACATCAACAACAACAAAAACAACAACAACAACAACAACAATAATAACATAATAATAATGATGATGATGATAAAGGCAACAACAATAACAACAACAACAACAAATTTAATTGATTTTCCAGCCAATAATAATACGATGAGAACTTTTTTTATATTTCTCTGATGCATCTTATCGCTAAGGTGAACAATAAAAATAAAATAAGGATAATAATAATAATAATTATAATAATAACAAAAACAACAACAATAATAAATGATAACAATAGTAATAAAAATACGTTTTAATTATACTGAAAAAAGTCGATGAAAAACTCATCGTGGAAATAGCTCAAAGTGAATGAATTGGTGAATGATGAATGAACGAATGAATGGATAAATGATGAATGAACGAATGAATGAATGAGGGAATTAAAAATGATTGAAAAACGAATAACATTTAAACTGATTAATAGATAAGCGAACCAATGAATGATAAGCAAACTAATGAATGAACGAACAAACAAATGAACCAACAAATAAATGAATGAATGAATATATGAATGAATGAATGAACGAATGAACAAATAGACGAACGAATGAATGAATGATTGATTGATCAAATTAAATGAGAGAAATACTTACTTTGAAGCAGGGTTTTTAAAGTAGAAATTTTTAAAAATTGTTATTGCTGACTTTGTTGTTGTTGTTGTTATTATTATTATTATTAACACTTTAACTAATATAATTATTATTGTTTATATTATTGTTATTTTGTTCTACTATCCAACTGTTGTTGTTAATGGTTCAAATTTTTGTTTTTATTGTCCAGGGAATGAATAAATGTATAGATGAAATGAATTACTAAATGAATGAATGAATGAATGAATGAATGAATGAATGAATGAATGAATGAATGAATGAATGAATGAATGTCGGAGTTATTATTATTATTAATACTGTTATTGTTTTAATTTATAATTTATGTTTCATTGTTTTATTGAAAAGTTTTACAATTCACTAATTTTAGGCTCTGATGCCACGACTTGACACAAGTTTCTAATAAATATGAATTGTTGTTGTAATAGTTGTTGTTGATCAGTATAAGTTTAATTAATAATATTGTTGTCGATGTATATTACAGAGTAGTAGTTACAGAGTAGTAGTAGTAGTAGTAGTAGTAGTAGTAGTAGTAGCGGTAGTTGTTGTTTCTAAAAAATTATTGTAATGTTGTTAATGTAATAAGTAATGAATAGTCTACTTGTGTTATCCATATGTATGTATGTATGTTTCTTATATGTATGTAAGTATGTTTGTTTTTTGTATGTATGTATGTTTGTTGTATGTATGTTTGTTGTTTGTATGTATGTTTGTTGTATGTATGTATGTATGTGGTATTTATGTATGTGTGTATTTATGTATGTATGTGGTATTTATGTGCAAATAATATATATATATATATAGATATATAAATTTTACAAAAAAAAAAAAAACAAACAATGACGAAAGAACAATGATGATTATCTTATTACTATTCTTTTTTTATTAGTAGTTGTAAGCGTATTATTATTGATACAGATACAAAGATACCCCATACACGAGAAGAACATGCATTTTTTTTCTTTAGCATCCGACCAATTTATAGCCCATTGAGTTATTATTGTATGTATTTATGTATGTATGTATGCATGTATGTATGCATGTATGTATGTATGTATGTATGTATGTATGTATGTATGTATGTATGTATGTATGTATGTATGTATGTATGTATGTATGTATGTATGTATGAATGCATGTATGTATGTATGTATGTATGTATGATGAAGCTGTGATTTGATATTGGTCGGTAGCTACTGACTAAAACGGTATATATATAAATCAGTATATATAGCATTTTTTTATCGTAAAATTATAAATAGTTACGAATAAAATATTTAGTATTATTATTTATCATGAATAAGAGTAGTAGTAGTAGTAGTAGTAATAGTAGTAGTAGTGGTGGTAGTAGTAATAAAAATAACTAGATTTTAGCATTGTAAGTTTCAGATGAAAATTTTGTCCCCCAAACTGTTACAAACAAAGCGTGATTGTTGACATCTAGTGGAGGAAAATATAATTTAAAATCTCTGAATAGTAAAAGTAGCATTAGTAATGAAAGTAGTAATTGTAGTAGCAGCAGTAGCAACAAGAGTAGTTGCAGCAGCAGTAATAGCAGTAGTGGATTACTTAACGAACCAAGTAAAATAAGACAACATATAACTTAATATAATTTATTAAAATTTTCAAGCCAAATTAACTATTTAATTAATTAAATAATAAACAATTAAATAATAATACAATTATAAAAATTATAGCTCACACACACATAACACGCACACACACATACACACACACGCGAACACACACGCACACACACAGACAAAAAACTAGTCATCTTCATTATCGGAATATTTATCGACAATACACCTTAAATTTGGGACTATTCCGACTAAAGGTTCACCAGTTTTTTTGTTATCATCATTATCATCCTCATTATTATTATTATTATTATTATTATCAGATTTATTATTGTTGTTATTGCTTTCCAAATCATCACTATCATCATCGTCATCATCGTCGTCCTCTTTTAAAAAATCATCTTCATAGTTGTAATCACCATCATCGTCGTCGTCATCATCATCATTATTATTATTGTTATTACTATTCCTTCTTTTGTGGTCATCATCGTTCCCCTCCTCATCATCATCTTCATCATCATCATCTTTTTCTATTTTTAAATCTTCAAAGATGTCATCTGCTTCATCATTCTCGTCGTCAGAATTCAATGCCTTAGAGTTAAATTTGTCAAATTTGAAATCGCCATCGTCATCGTCAGAGCCACCACCACCACCACCATTATCATCATCACCATCACCATCATCATCAGCAGTATCACCATCATCATCATAATCATTATTTTTGTTTTTTTCAAACATTATATTACCACCGACATTCGATTTATACTTAAGATCATCATCATCACCGCAATAATCATCATCATCATCATCATTATTAATATTATTAATATGATTATTTCCATAATTATTGTTATTATTATCAATATTATTCTTATTATTATTTTTGTTATTATTATTGATCCCAGAAGCTTCGCTGATGCTGAACCTCGGGGTGGGAACGGGAGTCTTCCAATTTGGGATAACCTTCCTATTTATAGGTTTCAGGGAATTTCCCAATTTCCCATTATTATTATTATTATTATTATCATTATCGTCATCATTATTGTTATTGTTCAAAATTTCAAGGTTCTTATTATTTTTATTTTTCGGCAGTGGCACTGGAGCTTTGAAACGCTTGGTTGATAACGCATTATTATTATGATTATTATTATTTCCTACGTCACTATTATTATCATTATCATCATAATTTTTATTATTATTATTATTATCGTCATCGTCATCAAGAGTCTCTTTCCCTATTTTGTCAATCTTACGAGGTTTTCTCTTAAGCGAGTTCGGAATCATCTTAAGCTTCCGACAATTTTGACACAGTTTATCATCTTCGTCTTCCTCCTCTTCATCATCATCTTCATCGTCATCTCCATTATTATTATTATTATTGTTGTTATTATTATTATTATTAGGAAAACCGTTGTTGTTTACCGATAAAAAGTTATATATAGCATTGTACGATGAAGCGATGCCATGTAGCTCGGCTGCCAGGCTCGTTAACATGGGAAAATTATTATAATTATTATTATTATTACGGTTATTATTATTGTTATTATGACTATGATTATTATTATTATTATTAATGTTTCTTTTGATGTTATTAATATTATTAGTAGGAGTATTTTCATAGAATTTCAAATTGTTTCTATCTTTTGGTTTTCCGCTCTTTTTGGGGATGATTTTTTTATTACCATTACTCTTTTCTTTCTTGAGTTCGTTGTTGCTTTTGTAGATGACGTCACTGTTGATGTTGCTATTGATGCCTTTGTTGATGTGTTTGTTGAGGTTTTTGTTGGTGTATTTGTTGGCATTAATGTTTCTTTCTGTTGCGTTGTTGTTATAATTGTTGACGTGACTGTTGTCATGAAATACCTCTTCAACATCATAATCTATAACGGTTTCTACTCGCTTTGAATTATTATTATTATGATTATTATGATTATGATTATTATGATTATGATTATTATTGTTGTTGTTGCTTATTGCATACACTGGCCCAAAACAGTGCAGAACGCATATCAGTTCAATAAAGCCGATGTAATCGTTGTTGAGATCGTTCAAGTCCACTTTTAAATTTCTTTTTTTCAAGACGTGATTTAGCGTCTTTGATTTTTTCAGGTATTCCGCTACTTCCGTGAACAGATGTTCCAAGGATAGTGATGAATACGCGAGAAATGCCGTCTGCTTTGTATTGTTGTTGTTGCTGTTACTATTGACGTTGTTGTTATTGTTATTATTGTTGTTGTTGGTGGTGGTGGTAGTGGAGGTGATTACTGATAATGATAGCCAGAGTTTATTTTTGGCAATGCTATCAATAGCACCTCGAAGTGACGTAATAAATTTCAGAGACTTTCCTCTATTGAATGTTACGTCATAATTTTGGTTATTATTATTATTATTATTGTTGTTGTTGTTGTTGTTGTTATGAATGATCAGATTAGGGAACTCGGAGAAATGAACTGTGACGTAAACGTCGTCAGCATAGAAAGTTAATTCCGAATAAAAATTTACAGTTCTTATGACGATGTCCAAAGAAAATAAATTCTCCAGTTCGTAAATGTTGGGCATTCTTTGGTATAAAAAAAACATAAATAAGATAACAATTAATATTAAAATCAAATAGCAATATTTTTTTACATAATTTAATCCTAATTAATCTTCAGAAGTATCAACAACGCACTTACACACATACAAACAAACACACAAACCATATAACTACCCATCAATAGACGGTCAAATAAAATGCATAAATAAATAATCTTAATAATTTAACTTCACTTGTAAAAGAATCAATGTTTACGTTCGAGAATACAGTGCGAGATTCATTTTTAAAATGCTTTCGTCGCCATGGTGAACGTACACTGGGTGTTTCTAATAACCGCATTGGCGTGAATTACTTTTTTTATTTACTTTACTAACCCTAACCGTACTACAACTACTACCTACTACTACTACTGCTGCTGCTGCTGCAAATACTTCTACTACTACTTCATTACTACTGCTACTGCTACCACTATTACCACTGATTCGTTCAATAATTTGATAATTCATTCATCTTTCTATGGATCATAGAGGCATACTAAATATATGTTATAAACATACAGCTAATGTAATATATACATGTATACACACCCACACACACACACACACACACACACACACATATATATATATATATATATACATATACATATATATATATATATATATATATTTATATATATATCCATACTATATATAAAGAGTTTATAAGGTCTACACATCAGGTAGGAACAAAATATTTGTTTTTCTTCAAAACACAAAGATGCTACTCGGCTTTACTATGAAGAACAGAGGTTTATATTTAACGTATATTATATTAAATGTAATTATGTAGCTGTTTAATAATGTTAATAATAATAATATTGAAAGTAATAACAAATAGAAAAAGTAGTTACGACTTGAAAATTGCAATCATAGCAACGACAGATAACACAGAAAATAGAAATAATAATAATAATTATTATTATTATTAATTTAAATTGCGTTCTATGTATAGCTTCAGAGGCACATGTAGAATCAATGACTTTGACGTCTTTTACGTAGGACTGGATAAGCAAAAAAGTGCTTTAACTGCTTTCTGAAAAGTTTGATGGTTGGTTGTTGGCGAATGATGGCAGGCAAACCATCCCACATGGGAGGAGAGCAGTATGTAAAACATTTGCTGACAACTGATCAATAGCTGACGGGTTGATGCAACTGAGCAAATGAAGACGAACGAAGTTGACGTAATATAAGCTGATGTGTGAAGATATGACGGTTCAGTTGAGATGTATTAAGTTACTGGTACGTGAGGACGGCGAGTCGAAATATAATGCATTGACCTACTGATAACCAATGCAGTTGAATGAGTTGAATCAGTGCTAGGAGACAAATTAGTGATATTTAGAAATACTTTTGAAGCTCTATTTTGAGCTCTTTGAAGTAAAGTTGAAAGGTAGGAAGGAAGACCTTAGAGAAGAGAGTTACAATAATCTAAACGTGATGGTACGAGACATGGAGCCAGTGTAGAAGCAATATCTTCGGTGATAAAATGAATATGAATATTACCAACAGTCCATATATGATCTTTACGAGATTTGATTTGATTAAAATCATATTAAATTAAAAGGGATTAAACAAATTAACAAACAAACATATAAATAAATAAATAAATGAATAAATACAATAAATAAAAAAATAAATACAATGAATAAAAAAATATGTAATAAAAAAAAATATTTGCAGAAAAATATTTTTTAAACAGTTGAATGTTGAATTTTGTAACGTACTCTT